TTCCTACTAAACAGCATTTCTTTCTCTAAAGACAGGCTTTTTCAATCCATTTACTTTAAATTTCATGCTCAGTCCTTCATTTGAAAATAAATGGAAACTTTACCTTTGACCTAAGAAGAATATTACCCAAGTTATCCATCCCAGTTTCTTACTGTAATAAATACTGAAAGATGTACCGCAGAGTTTCAGGAAATACACAGTCAATTTCAATATATTCTGTTGTTCCGTTTTGCAGTGGCTACTACCTTTACCAGCTTCCCAGATGTATTTATTTATTTATTTTTAAATGTTTATGTGACATCTGGGCTGGATTAAGCAAGCAGCAACACAGTTGCAACTGTTAAGAGGAGAAGCATTTGTTGTGGTTACCTCTTTAACTTCCTCTGTTAAATACCTCCTGCTACGCCAGTTACAAACTTGCTGTACCAAAGGCTGCAGCACTGACTGGGATGTTATGAAAGCCAAAACCTTTCACAAACTGCCCATGGATTTGTTTACCCAGAAAGTCCCGCATTTTTGCAAAGAGATAAGGAAAGTACACTAGAAGATCTAGGTTCGTGACATTCTTCAAGATCAGTATGTAACAGGAAAGAAATAACAGGAGTGAAAATAAATGTTAGATATATTTATTTAGCATATCTATACCCAACCAAAGCACACGTTCTGCATTTGGGCTGATGACAGCCCAAATATCTGAAGGAGGACCTGGAAAGGTGACAGCTAAGTCATCTCCAGACCTTTATTTCCTCTGCCCTCACCCAGAGCTGCTGTCCAACTTGACGAACAGGCTACAGACCTGAATTTCAGCACTGTCATTATCAGCAAGGAGAGGCGAGGGAAATACAGATCTCACGGGAGCTCCTGGCCCCCTACACCAGGGGAATCCCACTGATGCTGCTCACGGCAATGCAGGGCTGTGGGGCCGGCACGACCGCGCTGTGTACCAGCCCAGACAGGGGTCTTACCAAAAATAAGCAGAAGTACGAAAGATGCACGAGAGAGAACAGGACTGGAGAGAAAAAGGTGAGGAGCAGCTGAGGGCTCACCCAAGAAAAGACAAAGTACAGCGCCTAGAAAAGGAGGGAAACCTCTAGAAACGTGTGGTACCCCCTATAGGAGAGCTGCACGGTCTGCCAGCTGGGAAACTACCCCAGCAGTTTGTGGCAGGAGGCAGCGCTCAACTCTTCGGGGAGCGCCAGTGCCTCACGGCAGCGAGGCCTCGGAGCCGCTCCCGGCTGGCAGGTGCCGGCACCCGGCGGGACCAGCCCGGGGCGGGCAGAGGCAGCCCCCTCCTGCGGGGGGCAGCTCCGGAGGCTGAGGGGCAGCAGGCCGTGCCCGCAGCCGCAGCCCTTACCTGGCTGGCTTTGTGGAACTGCTTCTTCAGCCCCGCCACCGACATCCTCCCGCCGCGGCCGGCTCCGCCCGGAGCCGGGGCCCGATCCCGGAGGCGGCTGCGGGCGGGTCCCGCCGGGTCCCGTCAGGTGCGGGCGGCCCGGCCCGGCCCGGCCCCTCGCTGTGTCACCCCGCGCGGCTGGACGCGGCGCCCACCGCCCCGCCGCCCCCATTGGCCGCCGCGCGTCCCCATGCAAATGACTCAGGCAACGGCGCCCTCCCATTGGCCGCTCGCGGAGGCTTATGCAAATCGCAGCTCTGGAAGTCACCGCCCCCCGCCGCGGCGTTGCGAGGAGATCGCCGGGAGCGCGAGGCGCGCGGCCTGCGAGGCTGGGGGGCGCCCGCCGCCGGGGGGAGCCAGGTCACGGACCCCAAATCCGGCCCCAAGCCGAGCCCCCAGCCCCAGCCCCGGCCTGAGCCCCAGAGGCCGGCCGCGAGCCCTCTGACCGGTCCCAGCGGGGCTCCAGTTTGCTCATTGTACCTCACATCTCCTGTGTTTCTCCGTAGCATCTCGTGTGGTAGCATCACATCTCCTGCATCCCACATCCGCCCTCCCGCGCGTTGTGCTGGCGGCTGTGACAGCCGTGGCCGTGTGTCGGGGCGTGACGGCCTGCGGACTGGGTTCTGTGGGGTTATGGTCAACCCAAATGCGTGCACGGACCTGGAAGCAGCTTGGAGAGAAGCTCTGTGGGCTTTCACAGGGCTCTCGCGCTGCTTGCTGTCATGCCTGCTGGTTTTATTGCTTGGCAGAGAAAGGAGTTCCCAGAGCACCTTACTGTTGCTTCTTTCTAACAGCAATGAGAACGATGGCAAAAAATGCCAGAATTTCCACCATAATTGTCAGAAACCTACCTGTACCAATTACATACCACCGTGAGCCAAAGCATAAAGACAGACCCATTCACGAGCTGAGGGACTCCTACTGGCTATTGCTTTACAAAAGATGGTACAGGTGAGGTAAAAGGCACAAAAGAGAAGCTATGAGGCTAACCAGATAACATTCTCTGGAAGACAGGTTGTAAGGCAAAAAAACGTCCTTTCAGGTGTTTGGGTTGGGTAATGTTTGAAAGAGCTCTGCAGTCACTGTGCTACCTGATGCCGCTTGAGAATAGGGAAGGAACATTTTCAGCCTCATTACAAGTTAATGAGATTACACCAAAGGCACCTGATTTCAACACCACTTTTTCTTCTTAATACCAACAGGCAGCAAATGCTAACTGCCCAGGCCAAATCAGGTATGGCTTGAATTAGTGAAGCATTTGCAGAGGTCACTGTTGACAGAGATGAAGTGACCTAAGTTTTGAGAGAGATTGAGATGCTGAGAAGAGAGGAAATAAGGCCTAAGAAATTGGAGATCTGTAAAAGTTATTAAAGCAAACTCTGAGTGTACCATGGAATTGAAACAAAGCTTTAGCTAATCTTTAGCTTTAAGAAAGGGGGGACCAGAAGCAAAGAAGGCAGGAGTTTGAAACATGTCACTATGGAGGGGAATCAATGGATCATATAGCCACTGTGTCTGTTAGCCGTACAATTAGATTATACAGAGAGCACAAGTAAGGCAATATGCCTTCAACTTCCTTTTTTATCCCGTGTGTAACCTAAGGGTAGGAGTGATGTTGTTTCTGCTGAGGTGATATGAGAATCTGCAAGTGGGAAATGCCCTGTGGAAATCCAACTTCATAGCCTAATTGTCCAATGATACAGACAAGGTGAAAACCTAATTGATGAGCCAACTCAAATGGTCCAGGTGTTAATGATTTGGTAGAGACATCCTAAAAAAGACTGTGGTATTCATTTAAGATATAAGCAAAAGTTACAGCTTGTAGGCAGTAATATAGACGGGCTAAGCAATATCTAAGAGCTTTATAATCGCAGACAGATATGCATCATGGAAAAAGGGACCATCGTTTGCTGGACAACATTCCTTACATTTTAGGAAAAGTTGCTAATTCAGCCTGTAGAATGAGGGAAATTAGAAGTAGTATAAAAACTACAGGAAGTGGTTCAGCTAAATGCTGACATGATGGAAAAAGCCTTCTATTAAAAAGAACTGTTATAAGTAGAAGACAAGCCAGAGTACAGTACTACAAGGAATAGTGAAAAATACTTTACAGTCTGGTATATGGGGCCTTCAGGAGAAAAGTTCTAGATGTCTGAATGTTTAAACAATACTTACAATCCCACCACTCTGGAAATTTTAAATTACACAAAACATGTTGCTGGTTCCAACATGTTATTGAATCAGAGGTTCTAAAAAGGAGTGTGAATTTTGTGCAAACTATGAGCTCCTATTTAAATCAAGGCTGTGACTAGAAAATATACTCTGGCTGCTTATGTGGTAGAATTGGGCTTGAAAATTGGTCCTGTGAAATTCAAGACAGTTATCTGGATAAATGGATAAATTCATAATTCAGCTTAGATTTTAGATTTTAGTGTGCCTATCCAGAGACAGTTTAGCAGTTGAAATTACTTGCAATCTGAAGCCAATCACATCCATGTTTGCTTGAATGCCTCTTGAAAATTATAATGAGAAATCTGATAGTGAAATTTCATCTGGGTCTTCAGTAGTTATTGCCACCAAAAAGAACATCAAAATGGGAAGGAATGATGAGTTTATGATGTTCTATTGGATTTATCCTGGATCTCACTGAATACCTGTGTAAAGCACTTATTCCTTAAAATGTAGGTATTCAAAGCAAGCTATTGTGCATTGCTTTACTTTGCAATATTTTTTTACATGTGTCATTAGGTGACTGGACATGCTCATCTGAATAACAGGGGAAATGGTCAGTTGAGTAACCAAGTTACTGCTTACCAAAACCAGAGAGAAAACCTATGAGAAACACACAAAGGCGGCTTCAGCTGTAGCTGAATTAGAGAGTAGCAACCCCATGTTTTGGTTTCGTAATAGAAAAATATACAGGAACTATGCATATATTCTCTTCAGGTTGAAGAAGTCTGAATTCACACACTTCATCTTCAAAATACTGGCATTGGGAAAGGAGAGCCATTTATCAAATAAATAAATAAATAAAAATGGTTTGTGTTGCAAAGATGAGTTTCCCTAAGACTAAGTGTCTCTATATAACAGTAGCAAGTGGGTCATTAGTAGAGATCACTGGCATGCTTGGGCAAGTCTGACTTTCATGAAATGGTACATAAAATCTTTCATTTGAAATACCTAAAGAAAATGGGATTGCAAGCACTTGGACCAAGCAGAGCATGATATTTAAAAGAAAAAAAAATCTGCTGGAAGGGACTTGCAGAAAGCTTTAAAAATAAAACCGGCTTGGGTATACGGTTGTGTCCTCTTCTTAACATCTGGGAGGTTCATCTGGCTCCCCAGTTATAGAAAGAGGGGAATCCTAAACTGAACAGGCACTTCTGCAGCGCATCGACCCAATTAAGTGAAGTAATACATAACACAGTGTCCCAGAGTGAAATCCAAAGGACTACAACATTTGATGAAATTGGTTCCAATTACCTCTTCAGTGGGTTGTCCTGCAACAGAAAACCTGGGAGCTGACACCGGGAAAATTACACAAACCGCAAACTACCCCAATAACAAAATCAGAAAAGAATTCTTCTGCTAAAAATGCCAAAGACAGTAAGGACACCTCATAAGCCTGTTTTAGCACTCTTTCTATACGCTTAAATGAAAATATATATACATTTAAAATAAAACAAAAGTGTGGGTGATGTGAAAACATGTTCATGTACAGGAGCAAACTAACACTATGGTTTTGCTTCTAGAGCATAAACAAGCAATTTTGCACATCATAGCACTTGCTGTGCAGATACACAAGCTCAGTTTTTTCTGACATGGCTTTGCATTTCAGTATACATTTCATAAAAAGGCAAGAGAACAGACAGTATTCTCTACACAGCCACTTCTGGCCAGAATTTGGAAAGCTCCCCATTCCACATGGACACTGCTGGCAGTTAGAGCAGCAGTATGTGACCCTGGGGCCGGTAGACACTCTGGCTAACCTACTTCATTTGTTTAGGATGCTTATGTTTGCTCTCCAGATCTTCTAACTAAATGTAGCTAGTGAATTATTTTTGGCATTTGTGTTTGTTCTTCTCAAGCAGACTTCCCATATGTGTTGCTTTACCGTTATCCAGATCTTCTTGTCTCCTTCCTGTGTTTGTATTCCACATGCTTCTCCATGATTCTGTGGATACTTTCTGTCTTCAGTTTCTTAAATCCCTTACTCTTGTTCTGCAAGTGTCAACAAGAAGACAAAAGCTTGTTAGGTCTTATGCCATTAAATAATAAATACGGTTCTACCCACATGCTTCTTTTTAAATGGCATATAAAGATCTTAGATGAACTTAAAATCTAGAGGTAGATATTTTTAAAGTTACATATGTGTATACTATAAATAGGTACTCTAATTTTGAAAATAACACAACAATCTACTCTTCTGTGTGTGCTGCTCTGTTACATTGCAGCCTGTAAAAATGTTTGCAATCCCAATCTTGCAAATTATACTACATGGATGGAACTAGTATGTAGCCTGAACAGATCCTGCTTGGAGATCCTGTAACTTTTAGGTGCCTATGTTGCTTCTGATAGCAGTAAAAAATATATATATATTAATTGTTACTATTAATATATATGTATAGGCACTCAGCACTCACAGACAACTCTAGACCATTTAACAGAAATGTGTTATCTGTGTAATTTAGAATAAAGATACAAACGTACTGACTCCACACAGGAGACTTGAAAATTGAAAATTCTTGTTAGTATCAGTGGTAATCTTGGATAGCCAGGACATTTTCGTTTCCTCCATTCTTGAGATCTCTAACTTGATTGGTTTAACTTGGTTTATCTCTAACTTAAACCATTAAAAAAAAAAAAAAAAGTTTTCCTTTGGGTAGGTCTGTTTGTCCTAAACTGAAATATTTTAGATTTCTGACATGTTGAAAAATAAATAAATAAATAAAACACTTCATTTCAATGTCAAATTTCGTCATTTTCAGAGAGCAGTATTACTTCACATAAACATCTGGATCACATGCTTGAGCCTGCCTTTTGGGCTCTAATCCCTACAGGGACGACATCTCCCTTAACACATCTGTGGCCATCTGAGTGCCAAGGTGTATGCGGTTGGTGAGGGGAGCAGCGTATCACACTGTGCAAGGGGTGGTCTCAGCAGGAGCCCTGTGGCAACCTAACAAGCTCATGAGAAAAACTGAGGTTGTGAAATGGACCGACAACTTTTTACATTAAGGAAAAGAGAGGGGGAAAAAAAAAAAAAAGAAAGAAAGAAAAAAAAAAAAAAGACTTTTTTCCTTGGATACTACCAACAAAAATACATGGTAATTTCTGAGCTGAAATTCTTAAACCTCTATTTTGGAGAGCACGGGGAAATACCAACCAACCCATTTTAAGAACTTGCTTAGTTTAGGACATAACTAGTTGTTGGTGTATCAGAAATAACCACAGATGACATACATACCACTTTTTGCTGGCCTTTCTGAAGTAGCTGTGTACTACGAAAGAGTGAGGGGAAAAATAGATAAATAAATAAAAGAAAAGAAACTTAAAGTGGATCAATGTGGTAACATGCAGAAATGTTGCTCTAACTTTGAAAAATTGCACCTGAGTTCTGTGCTGCTATTTCACAGGTGATAAAATCTAGCTACCTATTTTCTGCACAGAGCTGCCTGTGTTCATCAGAGAATAATGACATTCTCATTGCTGACAATGCCCCAGCCAGGGAGAAATTTGAAATTGCAATGTCACTAGAAGAATAATGCTAGCTCCTGGAAGGTGTAGAGGTTACTCATCTTCATGTTAAAAGTATTGTATTGCATGTGCCGAGGATTGTTTTGAAGCACAATGTTGTAGTGCTATGGTGTAAACCAGAACGCATTTACTCTTTGAAATCTAATTTAGAATTCAATGTAACCACTCTTCAGTTGCAAAACAAAACTTTAAATATCATCTTAAAAAATCGTGATCTTAATAATGAAGAGAACAAACCTTTTCAGTGGAAAAAGGATGCACAGAACAACAACACATGATACCTTGCCTAGAGAATGCAATACACAAGCTTCTTTGATAATGATTTATTCAGCTTTACCAGGTAAAAACACATTATCATTAAAAAAAAAAAAAAAAAAAAAAGGAAAAAGGTAAAATAAAAATCTGAATAATGCATATTTGTACCATACATCTTAAAAAGGGAGAAAACAGTAAAAAATGAAAAATAAAATCCAGTCATTTCCCTTCTCCACATATAAATCTCTTCTCAATTCTATTTTAACTTCATATTACAGGACAGAAAGTTGTATCAACTCCTGTTACGCTGAACCCTTACAAAATACTCATTGTGGGCATTTCAAAGAATTTGACTGATGTTTAAAAGCAATCTGAATATCAGTAAATATCTTGTAGTGAGCTCGTGAATATTCAGACATACCTAGTTTTAACAAAACTTTTACAGCATGGATGTTGTTTTGCTTTCAGTGTAATTTAATAGGTCTTTTGGGATCTGCCATGTTTGAACATCTGGGAATCATCACATGTTGTCTGTTGATCAATGAGGCAACAGGAAAGGCATGATGTGTCACAGATGTTAAATATGGCAATACTCCATAGACCGACTGGATCACAAATGGGAATGATCAGACTTTGAAAAATCTGATTAAGATTCATTGACTGGATAAAATTCAATTTTTTTCTCAAATTTCCTAACTGTTCAGATAACAATGGGTAATATAGTGGTCAAAGAATTGCTGGAAAGTGGCTTATTTGGAGGAAAAAAATGACATAGCTGAAGATGAGGACTTTTACTGTCAAATATCTTACAGGAAGATGAATACAACTTGCCAGGTCCCTGCTGTCTCATCATGAAGATTAATGTCTACTACTGGATAACTCTACCACTCCTTGTATTACAAAGAATACATAAATCAAATGTATTGTGTTAATTTAAGCATCATAGTTAATTGAGTAACTGCCACTATACTAAGAAACCTATTTCTCCCCCTTCACAATCAAAGAAGAAATAGCAGATACTAATTCCTTTAACTGTTAACCATGAATGCCACCTTCTGGTCTTGCACAGAAGTGCCCTTTGACAGGAAGAGGGGAAAAAAAGACTTTCACCCAGTAGTTAGCAGATAACCGTTTGAGTTAAATAGATGTTAAAAACGTGTGAAATACGGACATGACTCCTGACAGACTTCCTTGCTTGCTCGTTGAAATTTAAAGGAACTCAGATATTTACTTTTGTAAAGAAATTACGTAGTTTAAAAAATAAACACACTTGACATTGACTTTCTGTAGAAACAACCTGGAAACTGTCGTATTTCAAGGTAGCAGCTGAATCAATACCACGAATGAAATCCTGACCTCACTGAAGCTGACAGAACTTTTGCCACTGACTTCAATGGGGCCCAAAGTTTCAGCCTGTACTTTATGAAAGTTGCTCTTGTGTACTGATCTTTGAATTTTCAAAGGGTTTTAACAAAGCTAGGCACGTATATTCTCCTACAAATTCAGTGGAAATGGGATTTTAAAGAGGAAACTAAGAAGAGCTGCTCCCACAATGAGCTGTACATGAAGATGGTAAAAGTTTTCAGAGACTTCTCATTCCCCGTGATCAGACAAGAGTAGCTATTGCTTTTATTGCTTGAACTTCTCCAGCAATAGACTTACAGTTGTTTAGTGTTGCTAGTACAGGTAAAAGCATGTTATACGTACCAGAACATGTTCCTTGAAGCAATCATATTATCATGGTGTAATGGACTCCCAAATCAAAGCAAACTGGTTCTCCGGCTGCTAGGATGATATACAGACAGCAGGGGAAACAAGCCAGGGAATTTCTCTCACCTGGGGAAGCAAATAAGAAGCATTTCTCCGATGCATGAAGATGAATATTTGGGCAGACAGTAGCTGAAATCCCCTGCAGTAACAGATTGCTTTACATCTACTGCATTTAACTCATAACATTTTTTAACCTAGCTGTTCTAGCTCTGCAAGCTCTTTCAGACTCAAATTTTCAAGTCATAGTTAAAAATAATTTCAGTGGTCCCAATCCTGCACTTAGATACATCCGCAGGTAATCAGTCATCTCTTCTTAGGCTCCTTTTTGGTTCCGCTTAATGATTTCTTTACTGTGTCAAGCATAACGTGGCAGAGATTGTATGCAAAGTGACTAATCATTTAACCTTAATGTAGACACTAAACCACTTTTAATTTGCCTAATATGTGATTCTAATATTTTTTAATGTCAGATATGAAGTAATGTCAAGGATTCAGTAACATACATTGGAAGAGATTAAAAAATAGCATCAGCTATTATATGTTAGTAACTGATGCACTCACAGAAAAAATTTGGCTGACATGTTTGCTAAAATATTTCCTTACAATTAAAAATTTCTAACTCAATATGGGGGAAAACACAAGGGAAAAATGATGGATTCTATTATTTTTTTTTTTCCTTTTTAAAGTTATGTTAAATGTATTGGGTTTCTATATGCTGCAGATGTGTGGCTCTGTAATAAACAAAATTAGCATGAAGCTTTAATGTATATATATTTACAGTCTTCTTGGGAGGAAGAAAATAAAAGCTGTGGATTAAATCCATCTTAAACTATAGCTCTGCTCTTCTTACAGCACCATACTTGCACGTTCTTCCTGATAGGTCAGCCTGCAAATATGACCCAGGTGTGACCCATTCCACCCTATCTGTGGAAAATAGGTACCCACTTACTCAGTCCTGTTATACAAGTGTCTACAGAGTTTGTTATTTTTCTCAGCTACTATCTGAGAAATCTGTTAGAAGCCATTTATAATTTTGACATGTATACTAAATTTTGACATATATACTGGGTAATGGGAAGCACATTTGTGAATTTCACTCTTTTTTTCTTTTTTCTTTTTTTTTTTTTTTCCTTCAACTCCTTTAAATTTGACCTAAAACTTTACAGGGCTGCTAAGATTCTTAAAGTATTATACCTTTCCTTTAACCAGAGTGATTACCATCAGGGTGCAACAGCGTGTGCTGGAGGAGTTTGTTGGTTTTTTAAGGTAAGAAGGGGTTGAGGAGAGAAGTGGTCAAGGCAAAGAGAGAGAAATGAGGTATAAACTGTTCCAACACCCATCCAGTGTTAGTGATACTATCTCCAATCTGTAGATGGCAGTGATCTTCCACTACCTGCTTCAGGAGAAAAGGGGGTGGTGGGGAAATCCTTAAATTAAAACCACTATGCAAAACAGATGTGGGGAAAATTAGTTGTGAGGTTAACTTAATGCTGTATACAGATCTTTTTTTACACTAAAACCTACTTCAAGAATATAAGATAATATACCACTTATTTCCTTCACCTAAGAAGAAAATACTTCATGCCACTTAGAAGCTATAAATTTTTGTCTCAAAGGATTCTGATGACAAATTCCAGAGTACCGTCTTTTGGAAGTTATCTGTGATCAAATCCCAGAGCTGGCATTCTGGATTCTTGCACATACCTTTGATATATTTCATTATTTTAAACATGTTTATTCAAATAATAACTTGATTTTTCCTCCCATACCCCTCTAGGTACTTAGCTACCTCCCTCATCGGTTGTTCAGCAGGTCTGTATCACCTTATTAATTTTTAGCTGCTTTTCTCCTGACACTTGCGTTAGTTTTCACTTTCATTCAAATAAAATGCCGTAGACAGAGTGTGTAAGGCTGTCAGGGCATACTTCAACAAAGGGTGCGATGCTGAAATCAAAGAAAGCACATCTATTAATTTCAGTGGACTTGTAATATTGCCTCCCCAAAACTACTTTGCTTGGTGACTGGCAGAGAGAATTTTCAAAGTATAACATGAAATCTCATCTTCCCCTTTTGTGAAGATTTTCAGTTGTGGTTTGTTGTTTGTTTGTTTTTTGTTTGTTTGTTTGTTTGTTACCTTGCTTTTTTCTTAATGAAAGGATTCTGCCTGTAAGATTTTAAAATGCGATACCTTTCCATGAAGATCAGACTACAAAAACTGCACAATTTTTGAAGCTCTGTTTTAAGTGTCACATACACTTGTAGCATCAGGTTCAAAAGTTATCTTGACACACAAATGCAGATAAGGTGTCCAGTAGGATTTCAAACATCATCTTTTAAATAGCGTTTAATTTTTTTTCTTCTGAAGATCTTAACTATCAGTGAGATTTGGGGCTTTGTGGGGAGGAAGATGCCCCTAAGCCAGTTCATTCATTTCTTACCATCCATTGTTTCCAGTAGGAAGTGTATAACTGAAAAGAGCAAAAAGAGAAAACTATTCATCTGCTTCTAAGGCCCCGGAACCTTTAAATGACATGAGCATGAGGTGCCTTAGAGGGACTCCAAGTTGAGACATCCCTCAGAAAATCACAAGCAATTACTTGTACCACGTTCTATGTTTAATATTTTGCCATTTGGTTACCTGCTGCTGAAAAGATGTTTTCAAGATCAGAACAGCTAATTTACAGTCACTTCTGTTTGACTGCAGTGGAGTGGAGTCTTGTCATGGGTACCACCGGTGGCAATTTTGACAATTCTGGTGCAGAAACCGAGTATAAACTACTGTGCATCGCTGAAATCCTTTTTGGAAAGCTTAGCTGAGAGTTATCTCCTTTTGCACAGGAATGCATCACACCCAGTATGTTCCAAAACAAAAAGGACATGTAATCCTCATCCCATAGCAGGGTTTCCACCCATTCTAGTAGGAAGATAAAACTGGTTACCAGGCCTCACTGTCTTAAGAGCTTTCCCTACATGCAACCTACATTTTCTCCTCTAAATTTTGTCACCTTTTTTTTGTGATGCTAAAAAGCTTTTCATTTTCCTTATGGACCATGCTTTTCAGTTCTTTGAAAAACAGCAGCGGTTTCTCTATCTAATCTATCCACATTGCTTAACCTGCAGTTCTAAAAAGGGATTTACTTTTTAATGAGTGAATATTTAATCTTTCATATTGCTTTGTCAGAAAATAATCCATTAATCTGTTCCAAGTGTATGGTACACAGTTTCATAATATGTAATCTCCCCCCCTCAAAAAAAAAAAAAAAGAAAGGATGGGAAAAGGTAGCTAAGGAAGGATATATAGCTTTTTTTCTGTGTGTATATATCCAGGTATGCTCCTTTCTTTTATGCTACTGGCAGAGAAAGTAGGGCACAGTACAGAAAATTACGTTTTCAAACCTGCTTAAATTGCCCCCCATGAAATAGACTATTGTGATATATTAAATAAAACATAGGTTTAATATATCTCCCCATGCTCTGGATACATACAGTGAGGTCCCTTCTTCGGGAGAATTTTGAAAAAAAAAAAAAAAAAAGAAAAAAAACAACAAAACTTCAGTTTAGTAAGCAGTTGGCTCGGTTTTCTTTAGATACACCTACAAATTTGTTTGCAACATGAACTCAGGGTGTGCTAGGGCTCTCCATAACTGTCCCATAGCTTCCAGTCATGCTGCCTGTCTATCTTTCCTCCCTTCTGCTTCTTCCCATTCCCATTCTGCTCCATCTCTTCATCTTCCTAATTCATTCCACATGCCCTTGAATATGTACCATGTAAGCTGCTGTTTTGCATTCAACATTTGTTTATCCTGGGACTTATCACAGTATCTGAGAATCTCATAACTTTCACAGATTTTTATCCTCTGGAAGCCTTTGTGAAACAAGGAAGTATATGTCAATTTACAGATGGGGAGTGGTCACACTGCAGATTAAGTGAGGTGCTCAGAGCCCTGTTTAGTCGTGGGAGCTGTATTCAAGTATTTCTTGGCTCCTGATCTCCTGTATAGATTGAACATTCCTGTCAAACTACATCTCCGGCAATGCACCACAGTCTCCTCCACCAGTGAGGACAGGCCATCACTCCAGCCTTTTTGGCTTCACAGACTTCTGGGAGATAAAGGCTGTCTGGGGAGGCTTTTCTTACAGCACAACAGGGACATGACAGAAACGAATTCAGAAATTTCAGAAAGCCCCACTGTGAGATTTCAAAATCCAAATTTATGGATGGGTAGAAAAGAGAATGTGTGTGGGAAGGGGTTCAAGTATCTGACCTACATTTCCATTCCTCCACAATAAATCCAAGCATCTTTAAAATAAATGAATAAAATAATAATAATAAAAAATATCTTGTAAAGCAGATACTTTACTCAAAAACAGTCAAGGATCTAAAAATGCTGACTTCTGAGGAAAATGCTGTAATGGCCCTAGTTGTATCACAGTGTGGAAGAAAGTGTCCATAACAATTTAGTATTGCATTATGGCTAACCCTTCCTCCTCATTTGAGAGTATCTGCTGTGGGGACAGCATAGTTTCCTGCAATAAAAATCACCTATCTGTACATCAACACAGTTAGAACAGTCTTTAATATTGGTTTTAAATTAAGTTTTGGGGAGTTGTCAAAACGTAGGAATGTGAATCCGTGTTTTACGATTCGAAGGTAACTTCCAAAGCAGTTAATGGAAGACTCATGTAAGGACTGAGGCTGGTAACATGAAATTTGGGTGCCAGGTTACTAAGTGTTCTGATTTAGTCACGATGTGAAACTCCGCAGTGAGCTCTGCAAACAGCTCTGCCAATACTGAGCTGGTGACCTCCGAGGCTCTCATGTGACTGTGCTGCCAGTGCCCTGTCTGGTCCACCAGGGTGCCACTTCTCTTTGATTTATCTTTGAGTCTGAGGAATTATTTTTTTTTTCAGAAAATCCTGTTTCAAAGTCATTATTAGAGCTATCTATGCAGTCTGGCCCCAGCAGATAATTCTTGCTAACTAGATATGTATTTTCCATGGACATACGCACTGGCTGTAAAACAGTCCTCATGCAGATAGATGTCTGTTTTTCCCTATAAATTAATGGAAATGGAAAAGGAAAGAGAAAGTGGAATATATAATAGTTCTCCTATTTAAGAAAAGCTGTGCAGCTGAGTGTGATCTGTTGTATAAGAAAATATGCATCCAATCAATTGTACTTTCTACCTTAAAAAAAGTTTGGTTTATAGCAAATATTATCATACAAACTTTGTGATAAAATAAACATTCCAACTATTCTGCACTTTAATGCAGACCAAATCCAGTCCTCACACACACAAGCACACACACAAAAAGCAACTGAATGAAGTGTTTGTATTTATATAAAACTGCTCTGGTAGGAAGCCAGTATCTCCTTTTCTCAGGACCCAAACTGCTTAGCCAAAGGAAAATGTTTCAAAACTGACGCACAGAAAGAGTCTGCATTCTGCTGCAAGCATAACTTCCACTGAACTGTATAAAAATAAGGCAAGATACAATTTCTACACTAAACAGAACAGGCTATGTTACAGTCCTGAAGCTGCCTCAGTTGGTATTGCATAAGAAAGTCTGGTTTGGTAGATCAGTTCAGTGCTATTGTCTGTTCAGTATTAAAAACACTGCAGTCTAACACAAAGCTTCTAGTTCTGATGTCGAACAGCAAAGATACATCACTAAAGGCCACAACAATCTTAAATCTCACCAGAAATCTGATCAGAGGACTTTATCCATGTGTTGAAGCTTTGCAGAAATTAGCTCGTCTCTATGCCCAACTACCTAAAATCACTCTCGTAACTACAAATGTAACTTAGTTCCTACTCACCATTTTACACAAGCAAGACAATTAGGGAAATATTGGCATCTTCTGCACCCCCACAGCATTTATAGCTGCTCTCTGGACAGTTAGGTACCAGGCAAGGAACTTAGTCCTGCTAGGTTCAAGAAAAGTGTTTAATATTAAGAGCGAACAGATAAGCAGCGCCAGCTCATCAGACTCTGAATATAGCAAAAAGGACATTGCTCTTCATTAGATTCTCCTCAAAATTTTCCAAAAAGATTTGCCTTTGGCTCAGAAAAATTTTGGGAGGTTGCAGTGCAGTTGATGTTTTTTGTAAGGCTGAGTCTGCAACTTAGGGCTAGGCTTGAGATAATAACAGTTACTTATATTATTGAATTTTCCTTATGTATTTACTCTCTGAGGGATCCTCTTTCTAGACATCATTGGTATTATACTTTTTGCTTCATATTTTCAGATACATAAATACAGGGAAGCATATTACAAGAGTTTCAAAGCTTCCTCGAAGTGACTGACCTTTGTAACTCTTGGAGTGCATGCAATTACTCGAAAAGTTCTCCTCTCTCTATGTTTTCTCTAAACATTGCAGAAAATATATATGTTAAACAGAACCCTATCCAGGTAGGTGTGTAAACTTGAGAGAAGTCTTGAGAGAAGAATGCAAAAGGGTTATTTATAAGAGGATGAAAAAATGAAGCATTATTTATACAGTGCCAAATATATCGTTGGTTCTTATCTGTTCTTACAAGCAGTACTTTGTTCATATATGGAAGAAGCAATCTGAAACCGTGGCAGCTGAGTTACAGTAATTTTGATATAGTGGCAAGGAAAAGATGCCAACAAAGTACCTTTTATGTGCATGTTAAACCTAGCTTTGGTTGACAGTATGCCCACAGCAAAACATACATAATACCTATAGGAATGATAAACAGAGTCTTCCCCAAAGAAGATTTTATTCAGTTCTATTATATGTTCATTACTAACTTACTATGCAACTTAATCTATCAATTCCTTATCTATACAACAGATGCAGCAGGTCTGGGAGTCTTCTGCAGATGCATGTTAATGTCCTCTGAGCAGGAGCTATCTTGCTAAGTGCACTGCACCACACCTACTACCATCAAGCCCCTATCAAGACCAGGGCCTCAAGGTGCAACTGTAATAACTGACATGATATGAAACATTAATTTTCTCATGGTAGCTGTAGCCTTTTAGACTTCAAACAAGGAGCTGAAAAATGCTATTGTAAGAAAAGAAGGAAAGACTTTCTGATATGCTTTAAAATATCTTACTAATAATTTCCAAACCTCTAGACTCATTTGCTATGATCACATCTCTTTTAAGTCTTGTAAGCTAACACTGTCTTATTAACTTTTAATATATGAAAAATATGCACTATAGGAACGTAATGTTACTAATGAGGTAAAGATCTTTTCCCTCACTGTTATTTCCTGTCCATCTCCGTAGTAAGTAACCATGTATCTTTGTATATGGACATGTACAAGCTAAGTGGAATAGCTACTTACCCATCTTCAGTCCCTGTGGACCTTGATTAGCTAGTAAAAAGGCAGAGCCCACATCAAACCAATGCTCTACATAAGAAACCCATAGAAGTGCATTAAGATTCTGCCTCTGTAGTGCCAGCCGGTGAGATTTTCACACATGGGGAATACAGACTAGGATCTTCTAAAACTAAGGTCACCTAGTAGTCTACAATAAGATGACCAGAAAGAAATCTGCAATAAAACCAAAGAGAAATGCTCCCTATTCCAGAAAATATGTCAGACTATTAATTTAACAGCCATATTCCCATTGCTATAAAAGTGGAGGAAATGTATTTGCTTGTTAAACGTCACACACAAAAATTAAAACCGTTTTATAGAGGATTGCATACAGCTTTCAGATGCTTTTCTGCAAGCCACATACATAATGTTTTCTAATGTAAAATGCAACCCCTCTGCAGTCTAATCAAAAGTTAGACTGTCATGCCCCAAATGATATGAAAAAAAAAAAAAAAAAAAAAAAAAAAAGGTCACATTAAGTTTCTAAGGGTTATTATTAAAAACATGCGAAACATTCCCTCCAGTAACTTTGGAAATTAATTACAGTGTCTGTACACTCAAAGTATTCCTCACAGTCAAGGAACAAAGGAAGCTGATGTTAGAGGCCATACAAAATGCACCCTCTTGCTCCCTTCCTTGCCCAACCTCTTGTTGTCCTTTGCCCTCCCTGGCCAAAGACTAAGGACAATGAGCAGAAGAAATACCATGAACATCCAAGGGGTGCTGGAAAGCCGTGCTAAACAATTGGCAGCAGTTTCAGCAGTTTCAGCCATGTCTTGCTGTCTTCAGCAACAAGCAGAGCTCACTGCAGACTAGGGTAAGGGCTGGGAGGGAAGTCTGCCAGGTGGGAGGCAGGGAAGAGCAATGAATGCCCTGCCTCTGCTGCAGCCTGGTGTATGCAGGAGCTAGAGACACTCCACGTGCAATTACAGGTTCCCCATCAGTCACTCAAATGGTCTCAAGTCAGTTTTGAAGGTCATCCCACTGCAGGGAGCTCTGCTGTTGTTCTCATGGGGTTGGAAAGAACTTTGTGTAAGGTTCCCAGCGAAGCAGCATACTTATCAGTCATTACCTGTTACTAATTTGATTGTAGATGCAGGCTCTACAGCTGGTACATAATTATTACTTTTTCTATTTTTGAGATGGAAAAAAGGTTTATGAAGTAGACATGGCTTAGAGAGGCCTGAAAGACAAGTCATCAGTTGCAGCAAGTTATGTCTCAGCTAACTAGTTAATTTTTTAAAAAGACTCCTATTAATCATGATTAAAGGGTCTGAGATCACTGGAGAGCAAGTGAACCTGCGCTTGTAGCTCAACCAGTCCACAAAGGGTAGAGAGATGCCTGTAGGCCAGGAAAAGGATTGCTACCCAGCTAGCCTGCAACAGAGACAGGCCAACTACATGCATTAGAAGAAAAAGAGAAGGATTACAGAAGATATAAGATATGCCTGTAATTAAGCTAAGAAGGCCTCACAAGAAGTGAACTCTATATGTTAGGAAAATAATTCCTTTCATTGTAATCCCATTTTCCTTTCAAAATCATTGTTACTTTGGATAACCATGGATTTGTTTTAGCAAAATTTTAGCCAGGATAACTGCTTTAGGAGAAATGATATCTGTTCTCACAGAGGCAAAAACTCAAAGGAGAGACAAACCGAATGTTGCTCAGGGATGTAGACAGCTGTTTTTCCCTACAGTCCAATGGCAAAAGAACATCAGAGAGCACTGGAGCTGGTCTCATTTTCAGAATAGAAATTGTACAAAAAAAAAAAAAAAAAAGGCTTTATGCTATTAAGACACTGTAAGTCTGAAGACAAAAGTGTCCATTCTGTTTACTTCAGAAAAGTTTCTTTTAATACAATTTCTACAAGATCTCATTCATCATAAATCAATCTGTTCTCCTTTTAAATATGGATATTCTCACCTTTCCTTTTTCTGAACTCAAGAAAAACTGTCATAAACCACTGGTTAAAATTTAAACAACAACAACAAAAACAGCAAAGCATGCAGAGCCCTGAACTAAAGCCAACTCATGTGAATTTCAGGTCAACCAATGGCTAATAGCAACTCCACAGGGATTAGAAGCAGTGCCTGCTACTAAACTGAGCAACCATAAATGTAAACTCACTCATCCATTGAAGTAATGTTGAACATTTACTGAAGCATGACTTAAATCAATACATAGAATTCCAGATAAACTGGTGAAAATTTGTTCAGCAAATGAATAGAAAACAGCATGATTTAAAGAAAGCCATTCAAATCCCCTGACACTGCCTGCTGTTTCAACTTTTCTTGAAAAGTTGATTCAATACAAAGGGCTTTGTGGTACTTCCATGAGCTTCACTTCTGACATCCAGTGAGATGGAGGCTAACTGCAGTTTTCCTGGCTGTCTAAAAGTGCATCTTCTTCAGATGGCGCATGGGACATTCTGTCCTGTCTGGGCAGTCTTGTCTGTGCTGAAAATTAGTTTCCATGAATTTAATAACGCTTGGTAAGTGGCAAGAATATGAGGTGATCCCTATCAATGTAATGTTAAAGCATCCTTGCTCTATTTGACTGATACATAGATTCCTAAGATTAGCCTGTTGGAACTATCTAGAGCGATAAGGGAATTATTTATAAGGCTTAGTATACCTGCTTATAATTTATTTATAATAATTATAATAATTTATTTTATAAATCAATTAGCTTCCACTGATTTCCTTCCAACTCATAAAGTTAAATATCTTTGGCCTATTTATATACACTGCCTATTTAAGTTGGGTAAATATCCTTTCAATCTACTTCTTACGCTTTGGGATGATGCCCTGAGATTTTATTTTTAAATAACATTTTTATTCTAAAATTCCTTTAAAAAGGTTAGTAAAAGGAAGATGACAAGCCAGCTAAGGTGGGTTGATAAACAAGGAATCATTACTATCTCAGCCTTGATTTAAAACAAAAGCAAACAAACAGAAAGAAGTACAGACTGCTCTGTGACACAGTATTTCTGAGCCTAGGGAAACTCACTGGGATCTGGGTCAGTGGGTTAGAAAGAACTGAGGTAGTGAAAGCAAGATAACTGGCTAGAATACTAGACAATAGCAAAACTTGATTTCAACATAGAACTATGTACACACTACAGATAAAAACAAGCTAATAAAATTCTTATTCAAATAAAGTAGGAGAAGAGATATTAAAAAGTGTTAGTAAGTTAAATACCATATATAGGGGACATGGCAAATTATGTCAATGACTTTCCAAGATGTAATTGCACTCTCTGTGCCCTACTTTTTCTCCCCATGTACCCACACAATTAAGTCTAGAAGAACATAGTACGCAAAGTGTACACAACTAGGCTCTGCAGTGGTAGTGCAAGGGCACCATAGAGGAACAATAAATTAAAAATCAATTCTATAAACAAAATTCACTTTTAATCTTCCTTTATTTTCCTTATTAAGAATAAATTTTAAAAGGAAAATACGAAAACTGTTTAAAAAAATGTAACCAGCATATCTTAGAGAAAAATGAGCTTACTATAAAAGATTCTCAGGAAAACTTAAAAATACATAGCTAAAAACATTACCTGTACTACCACTCAAAATAAGACAGCATGAAATGACAACAGCAAATAAATACTGCTGCCTTAACAACCAAATCTTTTAATGTAAAATAAACCCTTGCCATGAATGCCTTACTGGGTTAATAAAGAAAAAAATCAACAGGTTCTTTTCTTCAGACAAGGCTGTAGCACCAAGCTACAATCATTTCAACTAAATTAATACTGTCATAACAAACTTGAGATAGCCCAACAGTAGTATTGCATGTACGTTTGAAATTTTCTGGAATGAAAATTTCATTCCAAATGTGTCATACTTGGTATTCTTAGCACTTCATGAAAGGTTTTGACATTTATTACCTTGTATATGGATTATGCTTTACCAATTCTATATGATTTTACAGTGAATAATTACAAAGAATGTATAAATGTGTAGGATGATGTGATATTTAACTCATCGTGCATTAGGGGAATATTATCTTATCAGTGAACAGACTGAGATACAGACTCGCAAAGTGGTTTGACCTAGAAAGTGATATCAAAAGTGGGTACTGAACATCTCCGTCAGCTCCAGAGTTGTGCCTCAGCCAAGGCAAATGCCACACTCCCTGCCTGGTGTTCAGAACAGGCACCTCACCAGAGGTTTGTGTCACTGCATTATCTTTTATTCAGAGCAAATATAAGCAAATATAAAAAAAAAAAAAAAATAGGGGTAAAATTCTTGGGGTTTGAGTGTGCAGAGACAATTTTGGAAGGCATTTTGCCTCAATCGTTCCTTTCACTGACATCTAGACTTTTTTTTCTTTTTCTTAGAACTGAAGGCAATCCTTCTTCAGTAGTAAATTACTACACAGAAAAAGAGCAATGAGGATTTTTTTTTTCTGCATGAAATCGCCCCTACATGGTTATTTAGATACAATTGCTATATATTGACAGGCCTAAATAAAACTACTGATACAATTAAAACTGGTAGAATGATTTGAGTGTGAATTGTGTAGAAGTGAAAATCAGATGCACAGATAGTTCCTGTGTTCACTGCAGGTGAAAGGCTACAGATACCGAACGGGGCTATGTTTAAAGCTTGTTAAGATTATTGAAAAATAAAAAATAAAAATACAAAGATTTCAGCAGTCGCCTGATCAAGCCTGGGGTGAAATTGAAGCTTAGCTGACTTCAGTAAAGCTGCAGGGGCACACAATCGTTAGTGACTTGGTCCACTTTGGACAGCTGGGAATTTTGCAGAGCCATCACTAGAGCCAACATTTTATATCTGGTGTATCTTTCCTTGTGTAAGGTCCCCATAACCTTACATGTTTTGATATCAACCCAATCCCCTATTCATCAAACTGATTTCTGAATCAGCCCCTAAAAGAACACAGTACTGGCAGTATGCACTGTGGGCAGAATAATCTCTGTTCTCTGCCATATGCCCCATGTGGTATTTTAAAAAATGACTGATTGCTGCATGATTGTTCTGCATTTCCCTGTAGCTCTTGGGCTGACTATATATCTTCGGGTGTGTTAAGGTATGATGCCAGACTAAAATCTGCCTTATTAAACAAACTCCCAATAGCTCTGATATCACTTTTAATTTATATTATAATTTCTAAATTCTTGTTGCTCCCTGGTGACTTTTTTTTTCACAAGCACATCTGGAGCTGAGACAGTTTTGAGCAGGAAGCAACCATGTGTATTAAATGACACCCCTCTATTCCTCTTGCTTTTGGTGCAATCAGACCTCTTTCACCAGAGTGGCCAGTTGAGTCTCAGCTTCTGGGCAGTTCTTACTGTTTTACCTAAAGCAAAAAATTCCTGGGAGTGTCCACAAATCTGAACCGGCATCTGTTCTTTTCCTGTTGTTTCTTCTTTGAAAATATAAACAGAATGTTAATTACCTTGCCCTGATTTTATCCTGCTGCTCAGTTTGTTTCCTTTTAACTTCTGAATCTATTACCACCTGCCAATTTGTCTAATCCTGTATTCTGGCAAATGCAAGATTTTAGCTGAGACGTCTGCAATGATCCTGGAGGAAAATGAGCTGTTTTCCACGAGGTCAACAAGACCCAGAAACCCAAATCTATTTGTTCCAGTGTTAATTCATTAGTTGCACAATTTGGAATCTAGACACAAATGCTTATTTCATAATTTTTTTTGTGGATATATTCTGGGGAGTTAGAGGATCTCTCACATAGAATAAAACATGAAAACAAGTCAGGCTTTGCAGATGACTGCTTCCAACACTTGCAGACCTCATTGTCTTTTCTTTTGTTGTTGTTCTTAAATTAAGAATAAAATGAAAATTTAAGTAATCAGAAGATTCTTCCCTACTTCTCAGCACACACAGAAGAAAAAAGCTGATTCAGCATTTTCACACGTGCTCAACTATAATTGTGTGCTATGCTAAATTAGAGAACTGTACTTAGGTTTCATATTACAAGGACTACTTTAATACTTTAATTTTATACAGGCAAAAAGGAATATTTTACACA